GGCCCTTTTATTCCGGGCCGTGATTGGACAAGTGCCTCCTGCCGAGTTGGTTTGCAGCAGTTTTGTCGCGCCCAGATTTCACTCGCTGCTCAAAGCGAGCCTCTGGCGGGACGTGGCATCTGCTGCCTCACCTTCCTCATTTACACTTCTCCGCCCTCGCACACACACATTTCTATTCATCGCCTTTCCAGACCTCGCTATCACGAGTTACAACTGAGGTGGGGGCAGAGATGGGAAGAGGTAGAGGTGCAGAGAGAGCCGTAGTGTGGCGTGTTTAATCAAGTTCTGGGAAGTTTGTATATGAGAGTCACAGCAGTTGGTCACAAGCACTGTCTGTCTTTCTCACCCCAGAGCCTCTGAGCATCCGTCTTTTACTTTCAGGGTCACAGAAAGGAGAGTGCGGCCCTAAAACTGAACGGTAGCCATCACAATTTATAGTTCTGTTTGCTTGTTGGTATATCTACCTTCAATGCTTCCTTGACTAAAACTACTCAGTGTAATTCTATACTGTATTTGTGGCTTCTTGTAACTTGTATCTCATCACATTTCATGTAACCTGCTGGTAATTTGGGTGAAATAAAGACATGAACGTTTTCCAAGGAAGAATTTATAGCTCTAAAGCAAAACATTTTACCAGAAATGATTTGTTTAGCTGTGACATCAGAAGTAGAAAGGACATAGGTGTACAAACAAATTCATTCAATTTGATACCACTTATTTGGATTTTCATAAACACCTCTAGAGGACAATATCTTGATTCAGACCATTGCCAATTCATAGAGCTTCTTCACTTTCAAGAATAATAAAGTTAAGGTTTAATTATCTTTATCAGGTTAGTTAAAGGATTTCCACCAAAGACAAGGCCATGTTGTCTTTAAGTCCAACTCAGACTCCTAAAAACAGGCATGTTAGGCTGCCTTCAGGCACAGGCCTCCATTGCAAAAGAGATCTGTAATCTCAAAAAAATCAATCTGGTTAAATAAAGGTGAATAAAGAAATAAATCTAAAAAAACACCTTCATTACATAGGTACAAAATCAAAGTTCTTGTTGCTGAAAAAAAGACTTAAAAAACTGTTGTGTAACTGTGATTGGTTCAGATAGCTGAAGTGTCCTTTGACTGGCCATTTTACAGCTCCAGCAGGCTCCTCTATACAACTGTATATAAATCAAACACTTTCAGTTTAAAGAGTATGTAATTACAATTGAATTATTCTGTGCATAATGCTTTTTATTTCTTTGAGATTACACATGTGGTATAAGCAATTCTGACGCACCACCTCCCAGCTCTTCAGGGCGAAAAACTAAAACCTAGAAGTGATGAAGATCTTGGTGAAGCTCCACAACGTTCAACTGTTGACAATTAGCTGAATATTCCTCGTGTCTTGCTGACAAAATCCACTCCACAACTGAAGACTTCCAAGAGCTCAAAGCTAAAACTCTGCAGACTTCTTCCTACTTGTGTTCACAGGCAAGTGCTTTACTTTATGGGTTCATGATGTTGGTGTAGACCAGCGTGCTGGGGTTTTTCAATGACTTCACAAATGTCAGTGTAAAGTTTAAGATTTTACTGACAGCATTCTCACCACATTATCAAAATGGAGCCATTCTGAGAGTTTTCTGATTTTTAATTTAATTCACTCCTGGGAAGGGATGCCTCTCGACAGTTTATTTTTCCACTGTTTACCATTATCAGAACATACGAAAATGCATGTTCAAGTATTTCCTATCCCAGGAATCTATAATCAGAAACTCAAAGTGAGAAACTACAAGAAAACTCGTTCATTGGTTTCAGCTCCAGGTCCATCTTTAGCTCTGGGCAATCACCCTCATGAACATGGATGCCCGATTTCATGGGGATAACAAAACTGGTGGAAAATTTGGTGCCTCAAAGTTATTCAACTTCTCCCCAACCCAAAGCAGGCTTACAGGTCTCAACTAACCGTGAGCAAACCCATCTATCCACTCGTTCCTGTCTGGCATGTGAAGAGACAGGAGATATGCTGGACACTTTTCATAAAGGCCTTTGGGATGTGTGAACACAACACGGAGAGAGACGAAACCGGGTGTGGACAAGACAAAAAAAAAAAAGAGAAAGAAAGTGAAGAAAGACTGGAGCAAACAAACAAATCAAACTTGGTAAAGCCCTCTGCTGGGCTGGGGCCGGGACTGGAGTGAGTGTGTGCGTATATGTGAGGCGATGTGAACAGAGTGGCGGGGATTAGGACAGATCCTGGGCTGTCCAACTCACAGCTGGCTGATGATCCAATCCTGGAGCACAGCACAGCGCACCAGCCGCCATGGGACCCCCGGATGCGTGCCTGCATCTGTGTATGTGTGAGCGCCTGTAATTTTTGTCTGTGTGTACAGGCATGTGGGTTCAACTGATGTGCATTTTGGTGTTTGCAAAAATGCAGTTGTACAAATAAATAGGTCTGTGTGTGTGTTTGCTGTAGGAAAGCAGGAAGGAAGGTAGGGCTGTCAAAATTCAAACAATCGTCTAAGCCTCGTGATTGAAGGCGAGCTGTGATCGTTCAGGCCTCGAGTGGATGACAGCATGAAAGAAGGGAACAAATGGGTTGCAAAGACAGAAGCAAAAACCTGCCTCTGAAGCCTGGTCATTCTAGCTTTGCTACAGTGGACGTCAAACTCTTCTTTTACAAATGCAGCAACGATGACACTAGTGAACAACAAAAGACATGACAACAAATGATGCAAACAGCTTTATATGGCCTCTAAGGGAGCCCAGATGAACAGAAAGAGGGGAAAAAATGATCATTTTATGTTTATTTGTTTGAGAAGCAGAAGCAAAAAGCAGCAAAGCGTGTGAAAAATGGTTTGAAAATAAAATATGGCAAAAGAAGAAAAGATGAAAAAGTGATGAGCTAAATAAGAACAAAGATTGTGTATGAGATTGTCTTTATAGGTTTAATGGTTGCTCTCTGATCAGTGGCCCCATCCACAAAACAAACTAGTCTAGTTTAAGTCAAAGCTTCTTTATTTGTCATTCGTACCACGTGACACATGTGGTGGAACGAAATTGTGAACACAGGGTCCCAGTTACATCCAGTAAAAGTATAAATTGTAAAGAAAAACGGTAATGAGATCTAAGATATGAACTAAGAAATGCGCTAAACTAAAAATACGCTAAGCACTAGTAGTACAAAAACAATACGACGAACAACAGCAGCACGAAGCCTAAATAGGGCTTGAGCAAAAATCTATATCAAAATTTGTTTATAAACCTTACATGAATATAAAAACCTTATCTCTGAATAAAATCTACATTTCAGTGAATTATAAAATTTTCCTTCTATATGAAGGAAAGTTCCAGTTTGGGTTGCATACACATCCAATCTTCTGGCAGATTCTGCAGATTTTATCAACCAGCATAAAGTAAAATACATGCACTCTAAATGATTTTTGTCATTTTTTAATTAACATTTGCATCTCTCACCCAAATGACAATGTGCTGGAGTAAGAAGGTATTTCCCTTGTTTTAAACTATAAAACTACATAGAAGTTATGATCATACTTATAATTTCTAGCCTATATAACATTTAACAAGTATATACTTCTAAAATAAGATCATAGCATGTAAATTCCCCCATCAGTGAAACTGAAGGAAAAATAATATCCACATATAAATTAAAAACAGAAGTGTCCTTCGTTCATAATGATCAAAATTGAATTTTAATGGCTACATGCTTAGCCAAGTCAACAGCTGTCAAACATCTAGTCTGCATCTGAGGACAGATAAAATACTATAAACTCTCTCATGCAGATACAGCCACACACATACTGTGGTAAAATGGTTCAGTGCAGCAGCTCCTCACATACAGGTCAAAGTTGTCACGCCACATTCATGTGGTTCTCCACAGCTGGCTGAAAAATACATGCGTCTCATTTTTTAAACACGCGACAGCTCGCCATGAAGCCAATGGGTAAGCGCTGGCCAGCTGACAGACAAACACAGTTAAACACAGATCATAGGAGGCGGCAGCGACGGACACGCACACACAGATTACACGAACTTGCATCCCACAGCCTCCAGCACTACGGGGTGTTGCCACCACATCTGTGCCCGTCTCAGACACCTCAGTTGTTGGCAACAAGGGTGTGAGAGTGTCCTGAGCGGCTGGCATGGCCTTGGCAGAAAATACATGTTAAAGGTAACAGCAAACTGCAGATGAGAGACGAAACAGAGGAAAGGATAGAGGAAGAAAGAAAATATGAAGGAGAAAACAACAGAGGGAAAAACAATAAATGTCTGAAAGGACAGGGAGGAAGAATGCCTGTAAAAGGTAGATGACTGTATGCATAAATGGGTGGGATAAATATATAAATGGTACAAAGGGGAAAAATAAAACCATAATAGCAAGTCATGAAAAAAACAAAAGGAGGATTTAGAAATAGAAAGAAAGCAGAAAAAGAAAAACAGCAAGCCGGTAGTTCCTGCAGTGAAGATGGGTGCAGGGCACTGGCAGGTGGCACGGAGGCCAGGCTGTCCAGTGACCATCAGCCTCACTGTTGTGTGTGTGTGTGTGTGTGTGTGTGTGTGTGTGTGTGTGTGTGTGTGTGTGTGTGTGTGTGTGTGTGTGTGTGTGTGTGTGCACCAGGGACAGAAGAAAAGCTTAGGTGCCATTTTGGCTCTGCTGGAGCTGATGCTGTGCTGGGCACTGGTCTGGTGGCACGGAGCGAGCAGTGTGTTTGTGTATGAGTGTGTGTATTGCATTATGTTGTGGCATGCTTAACAGGATTAGAGGTGACCTAGTGGGTCCAGTTGGTACCGGGACCACAGCACAGCGGCGTGCATGCGCGCTTGTGTGTGTGTGGTTTGTATAATAGGATTAGCTGTTACCTGGTGCGGTACAGTTGGTGTGCTGGTCTGAACTGGACCAGACTGAGCTGGGCAGGAGCTGGGCAGAGGGGAGCGCTGTGTGCTTGTGTGTGTGTTCGATTGTGTGAGTGTGGTGGCATGTATAATAGGATTAGGTACTACCTGGTGAGGTGCAGTTGGCGCTGGGCATTTGCCAGCTGTTCTGCTAGGCTCAGGGCTTCGGCCTGCCATTGGCTCCCGTCCTTTTGGACCGCCTCCAGATGCTGCTGACAGCCAACCAGCTCTGAGCTCAGCCTTTCCACTTCCTGTCCCGCAGAGATGGAAGAAGCGAAAACAGAGGAGGCAAGGAAGTCTTTTTACAGCAACCCACCTTCTGCCCTTACACCACAATAAACCATTGTTAAAGTATCATAAAGACTGAGTAAAAGAAATACAACTATCTATACACGGGGGAGCTGGTGCCTATCTCCAGTAGTCCTTGTACAAGAGGCCGGGTACACCCTGGACAGATTGCAAGTCCATCACAGATGAGAAATAGTCTATCGAAATTATTTAAAATAAAAAAATAAGACTTTTTATGTTGCTGCTTAATAATAAATTTTCCAAACATTCTTAGATAAATTATTATATCTTGAGGTTGAACGCAGACATACTTGTGCAGCTTTTTCCATCTGTCTGCTGGTCTTGGCGTTGAGCTCTCTGAGCTCTCTTTCTGCCTCCTCTTTCTTCAGCTGGGCCTGGTTGAGCTGATATCGCAGATCCATACATACCTACAGAGAACAGCACATTACAAACTGTGTCCACTGGTTAACCATTAGCTGAGTTCCAACAGACGTTTCATTGCTAAACGTGCATATCTGCACTTTAAAAATGCTTCATCTGAATCATCCAACTTAAAAACCAATAAGAATTTCCCAAACTAAAACTTTTGTTTCATAATGCATTTAAAATATGCATAATAATATAATGTGCAGAGGCACTCCTCAGCTGCATGCATGTAAAAGAACAAAGGTATACTTGTAACTAAACAAATGGAAATTAAACTTGGTTCAGCAGATGAGCTCCGCAGGCTGTGGAGACACACATTCATATACAGTAGAATACAAAGACTGAAAACAAACACCAAATTAAATATTCTGCTGCCATCTAGTGGAAATACAGGAACACTACAACCAGACAGCATTAAGTTTCACATTGCAGCCTGTCCCAATGATTAAAACTTTTTTCTTGGACATTGAATTAACTGCAAATGTACATTTCACAATTATATTTCCATATTGCAGCTGTATTCTGCTAAAACAAAAAAGAAGGTCTTATCAGAGGTTCTGCATCATTTCAGTTTAAACACTGTATGAGCTAATTACAAACATCAAAAACCTTGAATAAAAAGTGAAAACAACAGATGCAGGACATCTTTCACAAAGTGCCCAGTGTACCTTAGCATTGTCTTGTTCCTGATTGGTTAGTTTGCTGAAAGTTTCTTCAAGCTCACTGGTCAGTGATTTTCTCTCTCTCTGAGCTCGGTCGAGCTGTACCTCCAACTCTGCAACACGTTGGGAGAGGCTGGACACCTAACACATACATACCAGTTTAAATGACCGTTTCAATACAATTTACAAAAATGAAAAATAAGATAAATATAGTTTTTAGAGTATTTAGGTGTAAGTAGTGTATACAAAATTATATTCAAATCAGAATTAATAAAAAGTATTATCCATAAATCTTGACAGGGTTCCCACACATTTTCTATTTTAAAATGTTACCCCTTTCCAGGCTAAATTATTCACAAAATCTTTTTTTGAGCTATTTCTGACCCTGAAACATCTGTAAATTTTCTGGGAATGTTTATACAGTGATGCTTTCATTATTGTACACTTATAGTAAAAAAAAAATTAAGCAAAATAGCAACTTGAACATGTTTTAGAGATGAGAAAACTTGACAGAAAAGTTTTATATTGTGTTTGTCACATACACCTAGTGATCTGCAATTATTTAGACATATATCAAGCAAGACGCTACTATTAGATGTGATTTGGGCTTCATAGTCTCTTCTGCCTGTGATATGCAACATTTGATCTTTAGACGAACACATAGAACTATAAAAAGTCATCAAAGGGCTGCATTTTGAACTAGACAAAAATATACTTTCAGACAGACAATTTGGAAAAAGGTTTCCATGTCTTTTCTTCTTTTTTTGTTTGAACTAATTGAAGCATGCTGGGTCATTGAATACAGTGCCTTGCGAAAGTATTCGGCCCCCTTGATCTTTTCAACCTTTTGCCACATTTCAGGCTTCAAACATAAAGATATAAAATTTTAATTTTTTGTGAAGAATCAACAACAAGTGGGACACAATCGTGAAGTGGAATGAAATTTATTGGATGTGTCAAACTTTTTTAACAAATAAAAAACTGAAAAGTGGGGCGTGCAATATTATTCGGTCCCTTTACTTTCAGTGCAGCAAACTCACTCCAGAAGTTCAGTGAGGATCAATGAATGATCCAATGTTGTCCCAAATGACTGATGATGATAAATAGAATCCACCTGTGTGTAATCAAGTCTCCGTATAAATGCACCTGCTCTGTGATAGTCTCAGGGTTATACACCGGGGAAATGTTAGCAGTATTATTAGCAGTACAATGGATAGAAGATGTCAGACCATTAAAAACAATAGTATGTTCAGATTCAAGTTCATCACTTACAAGTTTACAGCACAGCCACTCAGACAGCAGACCAGACATTTTATTAGAAATCCAGCAAGCATTATTCAGAATAATGATGATGGGTTTGGAAGTTGTATTTCTGTGGGTACCAGCACACATTGGGGTTGAAGGAAATGAAGCAGCAGACAGGGAAGCAAAAAGAGCAACAAAACAACAAGTTAACTTTATAATAACTACAAGCAAATCAGAAGCAAGAAGCATGGTTAAAGAAAAACTGAAGGAAAAGTGGCAGAAAGAATGGAATGTAGAAAACAAAGGAAGATGGTATTATAAGATCCAAAGAAGAGTGGGAGAGATGAGAACAGGAGGGAGAAACAGAAGAGAAGAGAGATTAGTAACAAGACTGAGATTTGGACACACTGGACTGAACAACACATTATTCACACTACATAAACACGAAACAGGAAATTGTCAGTATTGTGGAGAGACAGAAACAATAGAGCATGTGATTTTAAGTTGTCAGAGATATGAGAGAGAAAGAAGACACATGATGGAGGAACTTAGAAAGATTAAAGAAACATTAAATATCACAAACATACTACAGAAAGAGTCAGGAAGTAAAAGTGTAAAAATTTTGATAAGGTTCTTCATTAAAACAAAGCTGATCAATAGGATATGATTAGGACAGACAACACATACACAAGTAAATAGAATTTATTTATTTTATTTTTTTAAAAAGCATTCTGACCCACACTCCATACCAGTAGGTGGCGGTAATGCACACCATAAGTTGTTTGCCAACCGCCAATAAAACTGAAAAAGAAGAAGTAGTCTCAGGGTTCTGTTCAAAGGGCAGAGAGCATCATGAAGACCAAGGAACACACAAGGCAGGTCCGAGATACTGTTGTGGAGAAGTTTAAAGCCGGATTTGGATACAAAAAGATTTCCCAAGCTTTAAACATCCCAAGGAGCACTGTGCAAGCAATCATATCGAAATGGAAGGAGTATCAGACCACTGCAAATCTACCAAGACCCGGCCGTCCCTCTAAACTTTCATCTCAAACAAGAAGAAGACTGATCAGAGATGCAGCCAAGAGGCCCATGATCACTCTGGATGAACTGCAGAGATCTACAGCTGAGGTGGGAGAGTCTGTCCATAGGACAACAATCAGTCGTACACTGCACAAATCTGGCCTTTATGGAAGAGTGGCAAGAAGAAAGCCATTTCTCAAAGATATCCATAAAAAGTGTTGTTTAAAGTTTGCCACAAGCACCTGGGAGACACACCAAACATGTGGAAGAAGGTGCTCTGGTCAGATGAAACTAAAATCGATCTGTTTGGCCACAATGCAAAACAATGTTTGGCATACAAGCAACACAGCTCATCACCCTGAACACACCATCCCCACTGTCAAACATGGTGGCGGCAGCATCATGGTTTGGGCCTGCTTTTTGTCAGCAGGGACAGGGAAGATGGTCAAAATTGATGGGACCATGGATGGGGCCAAATACAGGACCATTCTGGAAGAAAACCTGTTTGAGTCTGCAAGAGACCTGAGACTGGGACAGAGATTTATCTTCCAACAAGACAATGATCCAAAACATAAAGCCAAATCTACAATGGAATGGTTCACAAATAAACGTATCCAGGTGTTGGAATGGCCAAGTCAAAGTCCAGACCTGAATCCAATCGAGAATCTGTGGAAAGAGCTGAAGACTGCTGTTCACGAACGCTCTCCATCCAACCTCACTGAGCTCGAGCTGTTTTGCAAGAAGACTGGGCAAGAATGTCAGTCTCTCCATGTGAAAACTGATAGAAACACACCCCAAGAGACTTGCAGCTGGAACTGCAGCAAAAGGCGGCGCTACAAAGTATTAACGCAAGGGGGCCGAATAATATTGCACGCCTCACTTTTCAATTTTTTAATTGTTAAAAAAAGTTTGACACATCCAATAAATTTCATTCCACTTCACGATTGTGTCCCACTTGTTGTTGATTCTTCACAAAAAATTTAAATTTTATATCTTTAAGTTTGAAGCCTGAAATGTGGCAAAAGGTTGAAAAGTTCAAGGGGGCCGAATACTTTCGCAAGGCACTGTATATTTCTATATATCAGATTTACTCTACATTTTAGGACACTTGTGAATGTGATCAATGCCTGTTAGTGTAAAATAAAAAAAAATTATGTCTATTTATGTTTAGTTTGTAACCACACACAATGACAATGACATTTACATCTATTTTAATCAAAGGTTTGTTTAATTTGTCCATTCTAGGTGTTCCGCTTTGTAGTTTGTCTTTATTCCTCAAAACATTCAAATGCATTAATGGAAACCTACATAATGTGCTTCAGCATCAAGATGTAAATGTATAAATTTTATTGCATTTGAAAGTGCAGTTTTCACAGCAGCTAAAACAAAGGACTGCAGCAATAATAACAGTTTATACCTCCATTTCTGAGTTTTCTACACAGAACTAGAGTTTACCGTCTGTGCAAGCTCTTCTTTTTGTTTGTGGGCCTCCGCCCGGCCCTCATTTCTGGCCTCAGACAGCCTCGCCTTCAAAGCATGCACTTCTTTTTCCAGCTGTTCCCTATGTCGCACCACCTCCCTGGATAACTGCTCACACTGCACCTCCGCCTGCATAAACACACACAGAGAGACAAAATGCAAGAAAACTGTCTAAAAGTAAACAATGCATTTAATACTAGTTAAAAATGCAGTTTGAGTCAAAATACTTGAGAATGCATGAGTACAAATTTCTCGTACCCTAGTTTTATGTAGATTTGCTTCTTCTGCCATTGCCACAGCCTGTTTAACCTGCAAACAGGCTGACCACTCCTTTTGTTGAGCCTCTTGCTGACTTGCCCTCACGGCACGTAGAGCCACCAGTAATTCATCACGCTCCCTGAAAAGAAAACAAACAAAAAAAGATTATGCACAATCTCTGTCTTTTTTTTTTACTGCTGATATGCTGCTGATGAGAAACAACTTAAGTGTAAATTTGTGTTACCACTTACTTTGTGAGCCTGTCCATAGCCTGGACATGCAGATTTGCATGAGTCCCAGCCATCACGGCTTCATGCTGTGCACACTTGAGACACAGACCCGCCACGCGAGGAGCTCCATCAGCTCTTAGAGCATCTGCAGCCTGTTTCTCCGTGTGTTTCAGACAAACCTTCAGCTCCTCACCCTCCTTCTGACTCAATGATAACTCTTTTCTATGTACCACAGCAGAAATACAATGTGATCAAAGAAAATGTGAAAGACATTGTAAGTCTTTAGAATTAAAATAGATATTACACTCACCTGAGAGAGATGACCTGAGCCTCCAAGCTTTCAATCTGGGCCTGGTGGATCACTCTCAACTGTTCCTGTTCAACACAGGTAACTAAATGTAATTTTGAAAGCCCGTGTATTCACAGACAGACTGGAAAATCTTTTGAGATCATGATTTTTATTTCACTGCAAAAATACTAAATTTATTAATTAAAATTTCCATATATAAAGTTTGTTGGGTTCAGAAGCACATTTCACCACAAAGTTGATGAACATATAAATTATCTTAGTCCTACACATTTCTTTATGCATGCAAAACCCCTACAATTTCTGCAAAAAAAATGTAGAAGTTATTGTGATGGGACTAAATCACACACCTTCTCCTGTAGAGACAGAGTGTTATGAATTTAATATTTTTGTCTGTAAATTCAACTTTGTCTTTACAGTGAAAGTCTTAACATTTATAATTAATTTTGAAATAACATCTCATACTATAATCTGAACACTGACCAGGCTGCTGACCTTGTGGTTCGAAAACGTAAAAATCAATTAAACATCAATTTTAAAAAGTAGACAAAAAGTACAAACCGGATTCCAAAAAAGTTGGGACACTAAAACAAATTGTGAATAAAAACTGAATGCAATAATGGGGAGATGGCAAATGTCAATATTTTATTTGTAATATAACATAGATGACAGATCAAAAGTTTAATCTGAGTAAATGTAACATTTTAAAGGAAAAATATGTTGATTCAAAATTTCACAGTGTCAACAAATCCCAAAAAAGTTGGGACAAGTAGCAATAAGTGGCTGGGAAAAGGAAATTGATCATATAACGAACAGCTGGAAGACCATTTAACACTAATTAGGTCAATTGACAACATGATTGGGTATAAAAAAAAGCTTCTCAGAGTGTCGGTGTCTCTCAGAAGCCAAGATGGTAAAAGGATCACCAATTCCACCGTTGTTGCGCAGAAAGATAGTGCAGCAATACCAGAATGATGTTACCCAGCGTAAAATAGCAAAGACTTTTAAGTTATCATCATCAACCGTGCATAACATCATCAAAAGATTCAGAGAATCTGGAACAACCGCTGTGCGTAAGGGTCAAGGCCGTAAAACTCTACTGGATGCTCGTGATCTCCTGGCCCTTAAACGTCACTGCACCTCAAACAGGAATGCCACTGTCAAGGAAATAACAGAATGGGCTCAGGAATACTTCCAGAAAGCATTGTCAGTGAACACAATCCACCGTGCCATCCGCCGTTGCCAGCTGAAACTCTACAGTGCAAAGAGGAAGCCATTTCTAAGCAAGCTCCACAAGCTCAGACGTTTGCACTGGGCCAGGGGTCATTTAAAATGGAGTGTGGCAAAATGGAAGACTGTTCTGTGGTCAGATGAGTAATGATTTGAAGTTCTTTATGGAACACTGGGACGCCATGTCATCCGGACCAGAGAGGACAAGGATAGCCCAAGTTGTTATCAACGCTCCGTTCAGAAGCCTGCATCACTGATGGTATGGGGTTGCATGAGCGCTTGTGGCATGGGCAGCTTGCATGTCTGGAAAGGCACCGTTAATGCAGAGAACTATGTTCAGGTTCTAGAACAACATATGCTCCATCTAGACGTCATCTCTTTCAGGGAAGACCCTGCATTTTTCAACACGATAATGCCAGACCACATTCTGCAGCAATCACAACATCATGGCTACGTAGGAGAAGGATCCGGGTACTGAAATGGCCAGCCTGCAGTCCAGATCTTTCACCTATAGAGAACATTTGGCGCATCATAAAGAGGAAGGTGCAACAAAGAAAGCCCAAGACGATTGAACAGTTAGAGGCCTGTATTAGACATGAATGGGAGAGCATTCCTATTTCTAAACTTGAGAAACTGGTCTCCTCTGTCCCCACACGTCTGTTGAGTGTTGTAAGAAGAAGGGGGGATGCCACACAGTGGTAAAAATGGACTTGTCCCAACTTTTTTGGGATTTGTTGACGCCATGAAATTTGGAAACAACAGATTTTTCCCTTAAAATGATACATTCTCTCAGTTTAAACTTTTGATCTGTGATTTGTGTTCTATTCTGAATAATAAAATAATAAAATATTAGATGTTGGCACCTCTACATCATTGCATTCAGTTTTTATTCACAATTTGTTTAGTGTCCCAACTTTTTTGGAATCCGGTTCATATCTAAAAAGATACTTACCAGCTCATTTTTCCAAGTTTTGTGTTCCGCCCTCTGCAACATGTTGTGCTCTGTGTTGGAGGCTATGTGGCTGCTGTCATTCAACTAAAAAAATAAAATTAAAATTAAAATGAACTGCTTGTTCATTAGATGTCATTACTTTTTAAAAATTGCCACTACGATAATCATGTTAAGCCTAATACTATGTACAGTTTGCGTTTACTCTTTCATCACTTTGCCATGCATGTTGTAAGTAACTAGTACATGTTTTAAATTTTCTGTAGATAATTCCTAATTATAAATTATGATTGAGTGAATTTACTGTTTTGTACCACAAAACTGAAAATGCAATAAAATACATTACTCTTTAATACGAAATATTGTTTTTCCACAGATTACCATGGAGTTATGGATGGTATAATCTTTCAGAGACTCATCCACAGCTTTGGTTCTGAGCTCATACTGCAGCTTCTCATTTTCCACCACCACCACTCTGACCCGCTGCTTCATTCCTTGCAGTTCTTCCTACATGCCCATAAGAAAAAAGTAGATTTAAACTACTCCTAATCAGGATTTTGGTCAAGAGTATAATGTAAAACACAAACATTTGTGTGCAAACCTTGCAGAATTTGACCTCAGCTTCAAGATGTTGGATGTATTCTGACTGATCGTTAATTGTTGGTATCAAGTCTTGATAAGCAGGAACACTGGACCTGCTCTCCTTCTGCACTCTCTAAAAGCAGAAAGGAAAAAGATGAGGTCAGCACAACAAAAATATGCAGGTTCTATAGAAATATATTATAAAATGATTAACAATATTTTATATCCTGACAGTTTGTTTTTACATTAAATCACTCAATGCTGCACATTTTACCTTGGAAGGAAACTGTTTCTCTGATGGAGAGAGAGCCTCCTTCTGCACTCTCTAAAAGCAGAAAGGAAAAAGATGAGGTCAACACAACAAAAACATACAGATTTTAAAGAAATATAATTTTATATCCTGATAGTTTGTTTATACATTTAATAATTCAATGCTGCACATTCTACCTTGGAAGGAGACTGTTTCTCTGATGGAGAGAGAGGAGTGGGAATTTCTCTGCATTGCTTCAACAAGAGACTTTTCAGCTGATTGACTACAGATAAACAAGATAAATATTTAATAAAAACTTTGCACACTGTCAACACAAACATGATCAGGAATATACAGTGCCTTGCGAAAGTATTCGGTCCCCTTGAACTTTTCAACCTTTTGCCACATTTCAGGCTTCAAACATAAAGATATATAATTTAATTTTTTGTGAAGAATCAACAACAAGTGGGACACAATCATGAAGTGGAATGAAATTTATTGGATGTGTCAAACTTTTTTAACAAATAAAAAACTGAAAAGTGGGGCGTGCAATATTATTCAGCCCCTTTACTTTCAGTGCAGCAAACTCACTCCAGAAGGTCAGTGAGGATCTATGAATGATCCAGTGTTGTCCCAAATGACTGATGATGACAAACAGAATCCAGCTGTGTGTAATCAAGTCTCCGTAAAAATGCACCTGCTCTGTGATAGTCTCAGGGTTCTGTTCAAAGCGCAGAGAGCATCATGAAGACCAAGGAACACACAAGGCAGGTCTGAGATACTGTTGTGGAGAAGTTTAAAGCCGGATTTGGATACAAAAAGATTTCCCAAGCTTTAAACATCCCAAGGAGCCCTGTGCAAGCAATCATATTGAAATGGAAGGCGTATCAGACCACTGCAAATCTACCAAGACCCGGCCGTCCCTCTAAACTTTGATCTCGAACAAGGAGAAGACTGATCAGAGATGCAGCCAAGAGGCCCATGATCACTCTGGATGAACTGCAGAGATCTACAGCTGAGGTGGGAGAGTCTGTCCATAGGACAACAATCAGTCATACACTGCACAAATCTGGCCTTTATGGAAGAGTGGCAAGAAGATAGCCATTTCTCAAAGATATCCATAAAAAGTGTTGTTTAAAGTTTGCCACAAGCACCTGGGAGACACACCAAACATGTGGAAGAAGGTGCTCTGGTCAGATGAAACCAAAATCGAACTGTTTGGCCACAATGCAAAACGATATGTTTGGCGTAAAAGCAACACAGCTCATCACCCTGAACACACCATCCCCACTGTCAAACATGGTGGTGGCAGCATCATGGTTTGGGCCTGCTTTTCGTCAGCAGGGACAGGGAAGATGGTCAGAATTGATGGGAAGATGGATGGGGCCAAACACAGGACCATTCTGGAAGCAAACCTGTTTGAGTCTGCAAGAGACCTGAGACTGGGACGGAGATTTATCTTCCAACAAGACAATGATCCAAAACATAAAGCCAAATCTACAATGGAATGGTTCACAAATAAACGTATCCAGGTGTTGGAATGGCCAAGTCAAAGTCCAGACCTGAATCCAATCGAGAATCTGTGGAAAGAGCTGAAGACTGCTGTTCACAAACGCTCTCCATCCAACCTCACTGAGCTCCAGCTGTTTTGCAAGAAGACTGGGCAAGAAATTCAGTCTCTCGATGTGCAAAACTGATAGAGACATACCCCAAGAGACTTGCAGCTGGAATTGCAGCAAAAGGCTGCGCTACAAAGTATTAATTCAAGGGGGCCGAATAATATTGCAAGCCCCACTTTTCAGTTTTTTAATTGTTAAAAAAAGTTTGACACATCCAATAAATTTCATTCCACTTCACGATTGTGTCCCACTTGTTGTTGATTCTTCACAAAAAAATTAAATTTTATATATTTATGTTTGAAGTCTGAAATGTGGCAAACTGTTGAAAAGTTCAAGGGGCCGAATACTTTCGCAAGGCACTGTAATAAAAGGCTGAACAAAAAGCACAGAATTTCTGACAGGCAACCAGTCGTGAGTCACCTGCTTCACTTTGCGTCTTTTGACTCCAAGCGGTTTTGTCCTCTTCAGCCATTGCTGCAAAAAAGGTGTCATTGCTGCCTCTGACAACCTCTCCATCAGGACTGAGTTGCTCCAGAGCACTGCTCAGCTCCTGGATGTTCTCGTTGGCTCGCTCTGAAACCAATATGTACACAAAAACACACTTGTAATTGCATATCATCATAGACATGTGCCAAAAAGAAAGGGTTTGTCAAATTTTGCTTGTCTAAAATTATACTAAAAACAGAAACATTTTTAAAAGTCGTGACTCATTTTCTGAAAAATTTAAGAGGATACTGGGTATATTCATTAGATACCGAGTCATATCATGGGCAGATGTGGCTGAATGGTTAGAGCAGTCATCCTGCAATGGGAGAATTGAGGGGTTTGATTCCACCAGCAGTCACATGTTGAAGTGTCCCTGAGCAAGACACTGAACCCCTCACTGCCTCTGATGTGTGCCCCATCTAATGTGATCTAAAAGCACTGATTACTCTCTTTAGAATTATTTATTTAATTAGCTTTGTAGAGATCTGGTAGAGCGTTGTATGAATGTGTGTGTGGATGGGTAAATGAGGGCAGATTGTATCGAAGTACTTTGAGTATATTGACTAGATGGAAAGGTGCTATGTAAGTACAGTCCATTTACTATTTACTATTTATTAATGAGACACTAAATCATAGATATGAGATACTTTGGGCATATTCATGCATTACTAAGTTGTATTTATGGGATATTGGATCAAATTTATATGACATATTATGTAATAATTATAAGATACTGTTTCATATTTATGACATACTAAGAAATATTTATGAAATGGTTGTGATAATTATGAGATGCTAAGACATATTTATGAAATACTAAGTCATAGACATGATTATTACTCACTACTACTGCTAAGCTGTAATAATGTGATATTAAATTAAGCCAAATATACAAGACATTTAGTCATATAAGATACTAAGTAAAATTAAGAGATGCTAAGTCATAAATAATATATGCTATGCTAATTTATGTGAGATACTAAGCAATATTTAAAAAATGTTAAATTATGAATTAAAGATATCAAATCATTTGGGGATGGTATATCTTAAATATAAGATGCTAAAAACATAATTAAAAAATATGAAATCATTTTGAGATGGTATGTCGTATAACTGAAATTGTTATTATTATTTTAATATGAGTGGCAGAAATGGGCTTTCATAGTTAATTCATTATATGAAAATATCCGTTTTCTTAAAAATGTCGTTTTAACTCAAATTAAACAATATACCTTTCTTATTTACGGAGTGGGAATAAAACAGCAACTTGGAAGCGAACTATAATTTAGCCACAATTCCCAAAAGCTTTAAAGCATCGACAGTCTCAGAAATGACTGTGGTCAAACGACGTTGTAAAGCAAATTAGCAAACGTCATTTTGAAACTTTGAAACTTACGCCTCTGTTCTTTATGTTGAGTGCTCAGCTGCTCTTCTTCGTCTTCGTCTGAGTCTAACGGTTTCATTTAAACACAGTCGTCATTATTCATGTAGAGAAACTAAATAAACCGGCTAAGCTAACCACAACAAACACAACGGCAACCATAACGCTCAAAAGGCGGCGTTTGATTCTGTCAATTTGCTCGCTGCGAAGGCGGTGTTATCGTTTATCCTGTTGTGATTAAATGCCCGCCCTCTCCAAGAGCACGACGAACTCATAAACGAGAGAACAAACGAATAAAATAAAAAAAAAACACGCATTTCCGGAAGTTTAAAGGAGTTCTGGGAAATGTAGTATGTCTGCAAACAGGGCGTAGGAACGGTGTTTTTGTTTTCTGGGAGCGGACTTTTTTTTTTTTTTTTTATCTAAAAAACAAACATGAAAAAAAATGCCATCAAGTGCTGGACTTGATTCAAAAATTACTTATTTAAAATCTTACTTACATTCCACATTTTATTTAGGCTGTACTAATTTAAGTTTTGTTTTAGCTGCTTTCTGTGAATAAATATGATATATTTTCTAATTTGCTTACCAAAAAAAAATATACGGTACATAATGACATGAGCATTTCTCTAGCATTGGATGAAATTGCTTCCTCAAAATATTTATACTAACATGACTTTGTCTTGTTTGAGGTAATCGTCAGAGTTTCAGAGCGTCATTCAGTTGTTAACATGTTAATAAATGTTACGTTTTATTTTTTTATAATTTCACTGTATTCCGGTACAATGATAATAAAGCTTATTATGATACAGATTCTGATGTTTTGCATGTAAATTGACATATTGTATGTGAACACATTTAAAATGCAATAATTTGATGCACTGACAATGGACAATCAGAAAGAATAGGCATAAACTTCAGTTACACAGAAGACTAAACGATAAAACAAATTCCTAACACGTCTTGATTAACTTGCATAAATAAAGTTTGAATGAATGTCGAAATAATTTGACACTTTTCCTTCCACCCAGTGGTAACCAATACCAAGAGCCGTTTTGAAAATCATGATCAAAGAACAATTTTCTTCACTGGACTTGACAAAACATTTTTTTTTTTTTATTATTCAACTGCGGGGCCATGCCGAGGCCATAATTCATTATATCTACATGCTGGAAGAAAAACCCATCCATCCATCCATCCATCCATTATCTTTACCCGCTTATTCCATTTTGGGTCACGGGGGTCGCCGGTGCCCATGTCCAGCAATCACTGTGCGAGGGGCGGGGTACACCCTGGACGGGTCGCAAGTCCATCACAGGGCCACATAGAGACAAACGAGACAAACAACCATTCACTCTCTCACTCACACCTAGGGACAATTTAGAGTTACCAATCAGCCTAACATGCATGTTTTTGGTCTGTGGGAGGAAACCGGAG